AGTAATGGCGATGATTTCTGGAAAATTAAGCTCTTCTAATAAAAGAAATAATTCATCTGTTTTGTGTCTTAAGGACTGAATATTAATAAGAAATACACTAAGCTTGCCATCGTCCAACCTTACAGACGGTGCTTGATCCTCTGGTCGCGTCACCTTATCTAAAAAATTTAATTATTACGTGGAGAGCCACTAGAGAAATATTTGCTCTGACTTTCCCTAATATTCTGTAACCGGAAAAGTTTCTCGGACGAGAAGTAAGACCTGAAGGCGGAGAGATCAGCGTCAACTTCAGCCAGACCAATGCCATACGCGTTGTGGAAACGGAAATATAACTTCCGCAATGAGTCCAAGTCACTAGGAAGTCCCTCCGAAGCTAACATTAATTTGATGCTGGTGTTAGTGTGCCCATCAAAACACACGGTGGATGGTTGGTCATGGAGATAAGCCAGGAATAGCCTAAGAGCTTTAAGAATGGCAGGGTCTCTTAGTCTAGCCAATAAATATCGACCATCAGCTGTATCGGAAGCTCGCGATAATCGCACAATGGGTGGAGTTATCGGGTCCATGATTGATTCATCTTTTTTTCTACTTGTATCCATAAGAATTCTTGTGATGTCTAGTGCCAGGGACTTAGAAACAGCTATAGCCTCCCTGTCAGAACCAATCCTGATAGTTTTATCATCCTTAGTCGGGTTAATCGGGGTTGAGTCAGAGTTTAGTGGTCTACTTCGGCCCTCCGCAGTGTTGGGTTTGAAATGGTGATGAGACTGATGCTGTGGATCTACTGTAATTGCTGCCGACGGTGGCGATGCCTTTAAAAGTGTTGCAGATGAATTAGCAGTCTCTATACCCATACCTGGAGGCCACATGCTTCTGTCCAAAAGCTGCTTTAGGTGATTTTTGTTTTGAACACCAACTTTGAAATCAGTGTGAGAGCAGTCTTTATTTTGGAGCATTGGAAAGCATCTGATAAACTCCGTAGTTCCAAGTTTTTCCTTTACAAAATGAGCAAGCTGTTTTGCTGTGAAAGGATGGGGGATTTTTGACACTACCACATAATGCCAGTTTTCTTTTAGGGCGGAATTCTGAGGTGGGGGACAGACTCGGGAATCAATGACCACTTGCGTAACAGGGGATGTCTCTTCACTATCGGTCTGGGTTGAAATCGACGCTGTAATTGACTTTTTTACAGGTGGCGGGCTGCTCCTAGTAGACGGTTTCTCTTTGCCTGCTAACTTTTCCAACGTGAGCGCCATTTGGTTGACACATTTCCTCAAATCTGCCATTTCCCTTGTTAACTCTTCTTTTGAAGAGTCATGTACCTGAACCTTTATAGACTCATTATGACCGTCCATGAAGATCGACGAAATGTTGCACAAGTCTCGTTTCATTTCCCTAATTGAATGGAATAGAGATTGTTGCCCACTCTCAGAGTACTCAGAATGGTGGTTGTGTATGTCATCCACTTTCTTGGATAAGTCGCTCCACCTGGAATCATGAGCGCTTAAGGTGTCGTAGATTTCCGAAATGACCGGATGAAGTTTTTCACTGTTCTTAAGACATGCACCCAGAGCCTCTACAATTTCCAGAGGGATTTGGCCTTTCTGTAGCTGAGACACTTTATCGTGAAGATATATTAACGTTGGAGAATCACAGACACTACAGAAAAATCTAATATTGTGATACTTTTGTTGGCAGAGCATCTTTGTTGTCGTTTTATCCAGACCAGTGCAGCTCATACAGAAATGCCGGCGACATTCACCGCTACAGCGAAGTTTATACTTGTCCTTGTCAGAGGTGATTTTTTGACAGGAGTCACACTTAAACTCGGCCATTTTTGCACAAAGAAAAGCAACGACGCAAGGCTGGAGTTCAATACACGCAAGGTTCAAGTACAACAATATACAACGTTGCCAACTATTAGGTTGTAGCGATGCCTCCGAGCTTGGTTACGCTTATTGTGTATACATTAGAATTGAACTACGCAATGGTCAAATCCAATCATCTTTGGTAATCGGTAAGTCAAGAGTACGCTTTGGACAAAATCAATTCCCAGATTGGAACTTCTTGGAGCCACCCTCTTAGCCGACCTTTTAGATCTAGTAATCCGTATTTACTCTCCCTTAATAATCATAGATGAAATCCTAGCATTTTCTGATTCTCAAGTAACTTCACATTGGGTAACAGCATCTCCACATAAATGGCGAACCTTTGTAGCCAATCGCGTGTACCAGATTCAAGAGACCATTCCAAACGTACCTTGATATCACATACCTTCTCTAGAAAACCCTGCGGACTGCGCGAGCCGAGGTTTGACCCCTAACAATCTTGTGAACCATCCCCTTTGGTTCAATGGGCCTCCGTGGATTTCATTGCCCAGAACAGAATGGAAAATTAAGAAATTTCTGGAGCAAATTTCCGACGAAACACCCCGCGAAGTCTTAATGGAAGAAAAACCTAGTGTTCTTATAGCTACTACTACTCCGCAAGAAAACTTTTTCGACAAGTAAATCCATAAATTTTCGAGTCTACATTTTATTCAAAGAATAATTTGTCATTTTATAAGAACGATTCACAATCAGAAGAATTTTAAAAAACAAAATCCATGGAATATTTTCTTCTTTTGAACTTCACAAAGCCTGATTAGTCTTGATCAAAAGGGTGCAAGAACATTGTTTTGCAGATATTATTTCGAAAATCGAAAAGGAAGAATTATTGCCTAAACCTTTCCGGAAACTTGCTGTATTTGTTGATGACTCTGGTTTCCTCAAAGTGGGCGGGCGTTTAAGGAATTCTTCTGGATTATCTTTCGATTCAAAACATCCAATTCTTTTACCAACATCCCATACACTAAGTGAGCTTATATAATCATCCATACAAATAACGAAAATTTTCATCCAGGACTAAACACCGTTCTATATTTGATCAGACAAAAATTTTGGATCCTATCGGCTCGTAGAGCGATTAATCATATCTTGTCCAAATGCATTCGGTGCTTTCGCTTAAAGGCGAAACCGTACACTCCATATATGGCCGACTTACCTAACTTTAGAACCTCACAGTTGAAATGTTTTTCACATGTTTGTCTTGATTACGCAGGTCCTATTAGCACTATTGCTTCCAGACAACGAAAACCGTTGATAGTAAAATCCTACATTGCTGTATTTGTAGATACTTGCGTAAAAGCCATTTATATAGAGCTCGTTTCCGATGCCACAACGGAAGCTTGTAAAGCCGCTTTGAGACGCTTCGTTGCCCGACGCGGTACTTGCCTTCAGATTACAAGTGACTGTGGCACAAATTTCGTCAGAACTATATCCGAACCCTACAAACTTTCCAAGTGTGTCGCAAATAGTGGTGTCTAAATAGTCCCGGTGTCCCTCATTTCAATGGATTAGCCGAGGCAGGGGTTAAGTCTAAAAAATCCCATTTATATAAATTCATTGGTTCTCAACTCTCGTTTGAAGAGTTATACACTTATTTGACCCAAATCGAAGCTTTGTTAAACTCACGGCCTATTTGTGAACAGAACTCCGATCCAAATGATTTGTCACCGTTAACTCCCGGTCATTTCCTGACCATGGAGCCCCTGAACTCATGCTCAGATCCTGATCTATCTCACCTAAAATTAAACACATTGAGCCGATGGCAGTTGGTTCAACAACTTCATTAGGTTTTTTTGGAAACGTTGGAAACTGGAGTATCTCAACACCCTACAACATCGTTCCAAATGGAATGATCCTTTGGTGGAAATCAAACTCAATTCTTTGGTTCTCATTGAAGAAGAAACCAAGTCCCCTTTATCTTGGTTGTTGGGAAGAATTATAGCCGTCCATCCGGGTCGTGATAACCACATCCAGGTAGCTACCGTAAAAACACAACATGGTTTTATTACTCGTCCAGTAGTGAAATTGTGTCCTCTGCCCATTTCTTACAACCATGTTTTTTGTTTCGTTTATTTCTAAATATTTTCTTTATTTTTGTTCTTTTCCCAAAATTCTTGACGTTTCATTGAACAGAACTTTCATTGTTTCCTGAAAAAAACTAAAATTTAATTCGTATACTTGATTTAAAGTTTTAGCGCCATACAATTTAAAGTTTTATATGGCACGAGAAGATTCGATACGTTTCTCAAAAATCAGCGCACCAACCAGATTAAGATAGAGATCCGAACTTGTCAGTTGAGTTTTCAGAACCCTCAAACCGATCCTTTGAAATTCAGTTAAAAATTCCGTAAGAAAATCAACCTCATAGTTTTAGAAGATATTTTAAACCTATTTTATGTGATTGTGTTCGTCGAAGAATTGGTAGACCATCCAGGTGCACCTGCAGGAAAAGAAAACGTCGGAAGAACACAAATAAGTGCCTATATTTTGTTCTTGTATGGCTCGTGTTCAAATATCATAGTTTTTATTTTTCGGCCAAAAATGTAGATGAATCAACGCGTTTACAGTCCCGCGGCTCCTATTATCGAAGATAAATCGAAATTCAACATCAAACGAACAATCTCCGTTACTTTTATTGACGTTTTTGAAACATTCTGGCGTCCGATTGGATACGTTTTTGAAACGTTTCCATACTTTTAGGCACTGTCAATACCTATATCATAAATAGCTGGTTTTACTTAGCAATCAAATTGGATTCAATCCCTTTGGGTAGACCCTGACCCTGACTCTTTTAAGTCTTGTGTAGTTAACCAAATTGACAAAAACGAAGGAAAGGATGAAGGAATCTCAAGGAACCATTACAGCTCAGAAAAAAATCATAAAAAATACAAAAGATATTCTGTGCATTTTAGAATAGTTATGATGCGGGATAAAGTTGTTTGTTCAATTATCGTAGATAAAAAGTAGCACATTCCACACTTGACTAGTGACCGCTGATGTGTTAATTACCACTTTAACACTTGCTAAGTAAACAACCTTCCGTTGTACACCAACCTTCTCTAGAAAAATTCAAGTCAATTAATATTCGCTAAACTGTTTTTGATTCGTTTTTAGAGCATTTAGTCAAAGCTCGTCAAGTGGCCACTCGTCGTCGAGTGGTCGCGTGGTCTCGAGTTCCAACGACGAAGACATTTACCACATTCCTTCGGGATCCTCCAGTAGCGGATTTAGTGATAGTCCTCCTGGACATAGGAGGCCTACTACTCCGTTGTTGCCACATTTGTATGGTCAGTGTTTGATTTTGGTTTGTTATTATTTGTTTCAATTTTTTTTGCTCTAGGACGTAAACCATCAATTTTACCGCCATTCTGTTGCGACCATGACGCGTCAACCTTATCAAGGGGCATCAGAAATGCCTTAATCTATGGTACATTGTGCAGACAAAAAATGACAACGTCGCTGGACCAAAAACCTATTGATTTCAAGAAACCCAACGACCAAGTTGCAGCTACAAGTGAAAATTGTGACAAAATTACGAGTAAAGACGCTGCGGAAAATAATAGTGTGAGAAGTAAACAGAATTGTTTAACAAATAGTTTTAACTGTGATAAGGTGAAGGGTGGTAGTGTGCCCAGAGGGCAAAGGGATGAAAGACCTAGTGTTTGGCAGTTGTATTATGGAATGAAGGCCGAGGGCACCAAACGGTATGGAGAGGGAAAACCTACGGATGTACCTGTTTTTGTAAGTACATTTATTAATAATTGACATGTTACATTTTAAAGGTATTTACTTTCAATAATCATTGGTCCAAATTCTCGCAATACGTTCAGACAACATGAATGCAATCACTTCCTCCAAATATCCTTCACACTTCTAATAATCGAATTTTGCAATAATTGCTACAGGAATTTTCGTTTGTGAAAAATTTAATTATTTGCACATGGGTTTGGAATTTCCCAAATTAAAAATGTTTAGATTGGTTTTAGCATGAACATGTCTATCAAAATAAAGACCAAATTAAGTATAGGCCTTAAGGTAATCAATTTTAGTTTTTTGCGTTTGTCAACAGGTGAACGTTTAACGTTTCAATAATGATTGAAGGATAACAGTAATGAACGGTTTAGGAAAAATGAACTTTTATTGCCAAATTTGATTGATTTGTTGCTACTTTAATTATATGGTTTTCCCTACTCGTTAAATACTATTCCTTAAAGTAATTACTGAAGATTATTAAGTAATTGCTGTAGGTAAGAAAATGCATTAAAAGCAAAGGTAGTGAAACTACATTTACATATAAAACCGTAAATCATATTGGATTTTACGCGAATTATTACGTTGCCTGATAATTATTATTTGTTTGGTGAAAGTTTTAATTTTTGGCAGCACAACTGAAAATATTTCACAATGAGCATAATAAGTATATTTGAGCTGCTTTAAGTTCGCCAATGAAACTTGAGTCAGGAATTTTTCATTTATGATATGGACACTTGGCTATCTAACTAACCAAAAAATGATATTGAATTTCACGTTCAGTAAAACCTCTATGGTTGATTGAATTACTTTGGTTGAAAATATTCAACCACAGTGGCTATCAGATATGCACACGAATCAGAGCAAAGCCGAAGATTTTTTAAAAAAAAATTCCGAATGCCAATCGTTTTTTGAAGTTGGGGATAGTTTTTACACAGCTTTTTTACTCCATGTTACGGCCGAAAACTAATGATAATTACAATAATTCACCAAGTCAGCAAGTTTTTCAATACTCCAAACTAGACTCAAGAACAAGTTTAGCCCCACATCAATAAATATCAACCGCATTTTACAGTGAGACTCTCTTATCCTGGGCATGGATGCGGCCTCTCCAAAACTATTTACATTTTATAACTAAGCAATTTGTTCTCTTCTTCATTTTCTATTTAATTTCATCGTTGCCAGATTCACAAGACATCCAACAAACATCTGGAAAAAATCTTAAAAAAATAAATAAAAATCACTCAATGGTAAATTGCCAATAAAGCGAATAGTTTACAATGAAATTGGATATAAAATTTACCATACAAACCATAAGCCATCTGCTGTTTTACAACATTGAAATTATATACAATTTTAGCCCATTAGCAAATATGGTTTATGAGTCCAAATAATTTAGGCCTGATAGAAAACATATTTTTCCCGATGACGTACTTATCAAACATTTCTCATGAATTTCGGTATCGAAAAAATCTATGACTGACTTAAATTATTAATGTGTTCTAATTTGGGGTTTATTTAAAATATTCACTATTAGGCCAGGAAAGAGATGTTGAACCTCGCAAACTCGACACAAGTTCTGTTTTATTTTTTTTCTGGTAGGACAAGGGTTGCTTATTATGGGTCTAACTTTTTCCAACAAAATTTCACCCTGGAACATCCCCCTCCATCCCCCTATAGGTCGTTTTTTGTGGTTTTTCCGAAACGTAGCGCGGGGGACTAAATTCTCTACAGTTTATCCAGCCACAGCATATTCCTATCACCTACCCTTTATTCGGGGTGGCGCACCTAAGTTGAATGACCCTGAAAAAAGATGTTTTGGAAAATATTATTTTTTTACTGAACAGTAAAGCGAATCCACCACAAACCATACAACGAATACTCACAAATAATTGGCCGATTTTTTGGTATATGTTTTATTTAAAAACAGTTACCAGTTTAAGATATACAGGGTGGTAAAATTTACACAACCCCCTTTCATATCATCTGAAGGGCTAATGCTACGCTGCAGGGCCGTGCGAAGCACGCGCGGGCCCAAGTACAGCCATTTTGATGGGCCCCCCTAAAGGGACCCCGAACATTTTTGAGTGTCACGACTGCTCAAATTTTCACCCAAAAGTCTTTAAAAAAGCACGCCTCGGGTATAATTTTTTTTTAGGTATTATTGAAGTAAAACCTCTTTGCTTTACGAGAATTCTGATCGCTCAAGGGGAGTATGAACAGCGTATCAGCCACGACCGGTGGGGGGGATACGCACATGCTTGTCGCTTGATTGAGAGAGATACATTCCATGATTGAAAATTCGAATTAAATTTAATCTCTGGTTGAATTCAAAGTTGCTGTTGAATGATGGTATATGAATTTAGGGTTTTGCTCTAAAATAAACCGTTAAGGTTCTAAAGCCTGTAAAATTTGCAAAAAGGTAAGTTTAAACTGTCAATATTTCCAAAAAAGTTGAAGGGTATGGTATATGACATGAAATCTGCTCAGAATTTTACGTTGTAGAAATACAATCCGGATATTCATCCAATAATATACAGAGTATTCCATTTAAAATGGAAGAGTTGAACGTTGAACCACGACCAAGGTTCCTCAAGTTAATAGGTTTTCTGGTAATGGGTAACTTGATGACGCATCTGGGGTGCCTTATGGAGATTTGCATTGTGTTGTGACACCCATACATCAGATGACGTCATAGAGTTATCAGGCGATCTACCTCTCCCAAACAACCTTGACCACGACCAGCTTTTCTGAAACACTCTGTGTATAAGTATGCGAAAGTGAGTTTAAAATAAAATAATAATTTCAACCATAAAGCTTTTATTAGAGACACGTCTTTCTAAAATGTAATAAAAAAGGAATAGTGGGTTCCATTTATAACCAATAACCCTGTACCATAGACCTAAGAAAATAATATTTGGCGGGCCGGGCCCCTATACGGAACCCGGGCCCCTATACGGAACCCGGGCCCCTATACGGAACCCGGGCCCCGGTAATTTGTACCGGCCGCACCCCCCTATGCACGGCCCTGCTACGCTGTTCAAATTTTCAGGGATTATTGATGTAGGAATGATATTGAAAAATTCGTATAATGCACCCCTATTTTCTACCTGGAACCACTCCAAAAAAAATAAAATTTGAAAAAAAGTTCCTTTTTTTTTTCACTTTCTCGCACACAATGCCCTTCATGTGAATGGTTCAAATATTATTTTGTGCACACCTCCGACATACATGCATAGAAACCAAAAGCATTTTTCTAGTACCACCCCTCTAGGCGGAAAAAATATATATTAAGGGGGTGAAAAAAAATAAAATAATTTTTTTTGCTTTTTGTTTCACATAGGTTATTAGCGCACTAAATAAGCTTTCCAAAAATATATTTTCTTACTGCAACATCCCCCCGGAAACTACCCCTGCCCCTTATGGAAGTTGTCGCAACCACTCTTTCGCGATTATTTCGTTACCTATGGATTGTATGGGAAGGAAATTTATACGGAATTAAAGACACCATATGCTCTACAAATAAGGTCTTAATGCATTTCTATTATATTTGCAATCGTTACGCTACAGTGGCGTCCCAAAGTTCAGCAATTTCGAGGCGGATTCCAGTTTTATTCCATTATCTCCTCACTCATACATTTTATCGCTAAAATTAATTTGTTAAATTGAAGGTCAAAAATTTGTCTACTAATTATGCCCTATGCACTTTCTACGTTCTTGCCACCTTTTAGCCACAACGGTAGCCCAAAGGTCGGAAAACGTCACGCAAAAACCATTTTTGCTTTTTTTCGCCAACGATCTTCAGCTCATGTTATAAGGGCCTATGTAATTGATTCATTATAACAGTACCTACATATTAAGTATCAAATTATATTTCATGCAATTCAAGCTCTATGTTCCAACCAATAAAATACAGTGGCGACATCGACAGCTTGTAGTCGTTTCCACCCCACCCAACGGTGGTGTGGAAATCATGTAGGTACTCTACTTCAGGAGGCGAGCTTTTTTATTGTGGTGTTCCCAGAAGGCCTACTACACCTTAATATATGTATTTTTTTCCTCTCATCTCCTCGGTTGGGAGGGTGCTAGATCTGTGAATAGGTGACGAGATAATGGAATAAAACTGGAATTCGCTATAAAATTTCTGAGTTTTGGGATGCCACTGTGGCGTAACGGTTGCAAAATACATATTAAAAATGCATTAGGAACCTATTTATAGAGCAAATGGTGGTCTTCAATTTCGTATAAATTTCCTTCCCATACAATGAATAGGTAACGAAATAATCGCAAAAGAGTGGTTGCGACAACTTCCATAAGGGGCAGGGGTAGTTTCCCGAGGGATGTAGCAGTAAAAAAATATATTTTTGGAAAGCTTATTTAGTGCGCTACTGATCCATGTGAAACAAAAACCAAAAAAAAATTTAAAAAAAAATTTCATCCCCTTAATATATTTTTTTCGCCTAGAGGGGTTGTTCTAGAAAAATGCTTTTGGTATCTATGCATATATTTCGGAGGTGTGCACAAAATAATATTTGAACCATTCACATAAAGGACATTGTGTGCGGGAAAATGAAAAAAAAAATGCATTTTTTTTCAAATTTAATTTTTTTTTGGGGTGGTTCCAGGAAGAAAATAGGGGTGCATTATACGAATTTTTCAATATCATTCCTACATCAATAATCCCTGAAAATTTGAACAGCCTAGCTTTAGCCCTTCAGATGATATGAAAGGGGGTTGTTTAAATTTGAACACCCTGTATATCTTAAACGGGTAACTGTTTTTAAATAAAACATATACCAAAAAATCGGCCAATTATTTATGAGTAGTCGCTGTATGGTCTGTGGTGGATTCGCTTTACTGTTCAGTAAAAAAATAATAATTTACGAAACATCTTTTCTCAAGGTCATTCAACCTTAGAGCGCCACCCCGAATAAAGGGTAGGTGATAGAAATATGCTGTCGTTGGACAAATTGTAGAGAATTTAGTCCTCT